CCAGCATCGATCGATAATATGAACTGGATCACACATATAGCCTTAGCAATCATGTTCTGTTGTACTTCTTAATGATCTCTCCCAAATAAGGTGTAATGTGAGTGTTTCCCCCCTTATGCCCAGTTTGAACGCTAATAAAACAATGCTCTTGTTTGAAGGACTTTAAAACTTACAGTATGGGTCTGCTGCAGACATAACAAACAGGAAGGCCACTTGGATTTGGATGATCGGAGAGGCTACCTAAAAGTAACAAATTAAACTATTGAAGTCAATGAAAAGAGAGATACTTTACATACCCTTTGGTCTGTTTTCTTCTTCCTTAAGATAGCGTAGGGTTTCACTGCGTAGATAGGCTGGTTGATCGCTCTGTTGTCGAGGAACATTGGGACTAAAATAGAACCATTTAGTCCTTTAAAAGTGGTACACTCATTTATCTGCAAGCTTAAATCATGTGGATTTTACATCTTGTAATTATAAACGTAGATGTCCGGTTTGTTTGCTTCAAGTTAAAAAGTTACTGGTACTGGCACTGTACCCATTTATGGTAAGGTGTGCAATTACACCACAAATATGAGAATTACAGCAGGTTATACACACTTTAAAGACGACATTTTTCAAGATGTTTCTTTATTTGGAATTGATGGAAGTTTTAAGAAATTAAAATATCAGTTATCGATATCAAATGCAGCGGTATAGAGCCATCAATTACTTATATACGACATTTGTATAGTTTATCTTTTCCATAACTTTTCAACGACGTTATCAGTACTATGTAATAATTATAAACGATATTAGGGTTTAGTCTATCATCCAGGCGCCCTTTGGGACACTTCGCCGCGGTCCATTTATTAGCTCCTCTATTTTGGAATTAGAGAGCTAATTTAAGATATCATTTTTGACTATATATGAGTTGTCATTTTTTAAAAAAGTCCTTAAATGCATGTAAAATTTGTAAGAAGCTTTGTAAGTTTTTTGTCTTTTGCAACACTGTCAATCATGCATTCCGAATGGATGCATTATGAATTTTCTGTTCGTTACTCAATTATTTTTTGTGTACGTGCTTGTAAG